GTGATTGACTTGACCCATTCCGTTAGCTTAACACTTGATCGTTTTAGTTTACTGCTATTGCTTTCGTCATGACTTATACATGTTCCTATGACTATGAGATTATGAAACTCCCGATTACCGGAGGAACACTTTGTGTGCTACCAAACGTCACAACATAACTGGGTGATTATAAAGGTGCTCTACAGGTGTCTCCGATGGTACTTGTTGAGTTGGCATAGATCAAGATTAGGATTTGTCACTCCGATTGTCGGAGAGGTATCTCTGGGCCCTCTCGGTAATGCACATCACTATAAGCCTTGCAAGCAATGTGACTAATGAGTTAGTTGCAGGATGTTGCATTACGAAATGAGTAAAGAGACTTGCCGGTAACGAAATTGAACTAGGTATTGAGATACCGACGATCGAATCTCAGGCAAGTAACATACCGATGACAAAGGGAACAACGTATGTTGTTATGCGGTTTGACCGATAAACATCTTCGTAGAATATGTAGGAACCAATATGAGCATCCAGGTTCCGCTATTGGTTATTGACCGGAGACATGTCTCGGTCATGTCTACATAGTTCTCGAACCCGTATGGTCCGCACGCTTAAAGTTCTGTGACGATCGGTATTATGAGTTTTTGTGTTTTGATGCTCCAAAGGTAGTTCAGAGTCCCAGATATGATCACGGACATGACGAGGAGTCTCGAAATGGTCGAGACGTAAAGATCTATATATTGGATGACTATGTTCAGACACCGAAAGTGTTTCGGGAGGTTTCGGACATTTACCGGAGTACCGGGGGGTTACCGGAACCCCCCGGGGAGTATATTGGGCCTAATGGGCCTTAGTGGGAGAAGAGGAGGGGCGACCAAGGGCAGCCGCGCGCCCCTCCCCCTCTAGTCCAAATTGGACAAGGAGGGGGGGCGGCGCCCCCCTTTCCTTCTCTTCATCTCTCCCTTCCTTCTCCTCTCCTACTCCAACTAGGAAAAGAGGGAGTCCTACTCCCGGTGGGAGTAGGACTCCCCCCTTGGCGCGCCCTCCTCCTTGGCCGGCCGCCTCCCCCTAGCTCCTTTATATACGGGGGCAGGGCACCCCATAGACACAACAATTGTTATGTTGATCTCTTAGCCGTGTGCGGTGCCCCCTCCACCATAATCCACCTCAGTTATATCGTAGTGGTGCTTAGGCGAAGCCCTGCGTCGATAGCTTCATCAACATCGTCACCACGCCGTCGTGCTGATGAAACTCTTCCCCGAGCTCTACTAGATTGTGAGTTCGCGGGACGTCATCGAGCTGAACGTGTGCTGAACGCGGAGGTGTCGTACGTTTGGTGCTGAGGATCGGTCGATCGTGAAGACGTACGACTACATCAACCGTGTTGTTATAACGCTTCCGCTTAACAGTCTATGAGGGTACGTGGACGACACTCTCCCCTCTCGTTGCTATGCATCACCATGATCTGCGTAGGATTTTTTTTGAAACTACTACGTTCCCCAACAATAATGAACTCTCATCTCCCTTCATTGCTTCAAGAATATATCACCAAAGACTCTTTCATGACCATATCAAATTCCACTATGAATGTCATCTTGGTCACCACATGCTCTTCTAAAACTCCATCGTAATGTCTTGAGAGGCATAATGAATTCTTCACTCTAGTTGCTTGCTTCAAGACTTGATCAACGGAAAACCCAACACATGAGCTTAACATGAACTTGTGTTGAAACCATAACTTGAATTCTTCTATTTGATTATTATCTCAAGCCCATCCTTACAAGCCCACAAATGTCAACCTTTGAGATCCTCTAACAAACTCCATCTTGAACATATAATGAGGACTTCTTCGAATGTTTTGATGGCATTCTTCCGACATAAATCCAACATGCTTCATGCATCACTATGGAACATTTCTTCATATAGGATTCAATGCACTTGATGCTCCATAGGAATTGTCCATGAATACCAAAGCTTAGAGCAAATATATCTTCATATATATGGACTTCATCCTTGATTCCTTCTAATATCCTTGATGCACCTTCTATGGACAATACCTTCAAATATATCTCAATGAAAACATTAGTCCATAGAGATTGTCATTAATTACCAAAACCACACTTAGGGGTTACATGCCCTTTCAGTAAGCCTTGGAAAATGATCATAGATCACAAATACATGACTAGGAGGATAAATATCTTTGCTCCTAACTTGTCCCCCAAGGCCTCTAGATTCTGGAAAGGGATCAAATCCATTATCCAAACTCTGAAATTTGGTTACAGATGGAAGATTAAGTCGGGGAATACTGTAAGATTCTGGGAAGATACCTGGTTTGGCACTTATCCTCTGGTTGTGCAATTCTGGCCTATTTACTCCATTTGTAATGAGCAAACCAAAAGTGTCAATGAGGTTTGGGATGGGCATCAGCTGAAACTTTCTTTTAGAAGAAACTTTGATGATAAGCTTATGGAGCAACGGTATCAATTAGTGGAGATGGCTAACAGTGTCGTTTTCACTGATGATATTAATGCTCTGGTTTGGCAACTAGAAAACAAAGGGACTTATTCTGCTAGCTCTCTTTATCATGTGATTAGCTTTAGAGGGGTGCAACTAGTCTTCATTCTTTGTGTCTGGAAACTTAGGGTTCCCCCGAAAATTCATGTTTTTCTCTGGCTCTTTGCTAATAATAAGCTGACGACCGAAGACAACCTTAGAAAAAGGCAGATTATTAAACCTATGGATTGTGTTTTCTGCTCTGATGTTGAATCTAGTGCTCATTTATTCTTTGACTATGTAGTTGCTAAGCAGATTTGGCCCCTGGTGAAAGGGCATTTTGGGATCAAAATTGGGGCTGGTTTCAAATCAGTAGCCAAAATTTGGGTCTCAAATAAAAAAACTCTACTCTCAATACTGTCAGCTCTGCTGTGCTTTGGTGTCTTTGAAAATATAGGAACTCTATCATTTTCAATAACACCTTATGGATCTCCATCAAAGAGGTGTTGAGTCTGATCCTAAGAACTATCAAAAACTGGATTGTGCTATCCCCACACAAGTGTGTGGAGAGATTGGAGGCCTTCTCAACACATCTTGCAGACTTCGTTCGGCAACCTTTGACGATCAGTGGCTGACAAGGGGGGTGTCACATGACCCCCCCCCCCCGGTGGACCCTTGGAACAAGCTGAGGATCTTTAACGATAGCGCCATCTTCGCCTCTCCTTCCAAGAAGCGGGAGACCAGAGCAGCAACATTCTCCAGCCCAACACTGACCTTGACAGCATGTTGGTCACCCCAGGCTACGGCGGTGCCCTCGTTGAAGACTCGCAAGGCCTTCCAGGACCTGATATGTGCCTAGAGTAGATAGTCGTTAGCCTCTTGGCTGGCGTCTTATGTATCATTCTCCTGTTCTGCAGTATTTGCCTTGTGTAGGCAGTTTATTTCCTGTCCATTTAAACTGCGCTTCTCAGTGAGCTGATGTATGAAGGACTTTGAGGTTTCATTCGAGCAATGGAACCAAGGAGGAGCCTCCCCGTTCTTCTAAAAAAATGATTTTGTTGTACTGGTCCGGCCTGCACATCTTTGGCGGCTTTTCCGAGAGCCTGGCTCGAAAGGCCCAGTCAACCTAACAGGGCCCATTTGGCATTCCGGTTTTCGTTTCTCTCCGCCGTAAGCTCGTCCCTCCTCCCCCTGGCTCCTGACCTATCTCGTGCTCGGTCGGTCTTGACCTACCCGAAGCTCCAACCCGACCCAATAAAATCTCTCCTACACCCTGCCGCCGCCGTAGCTTAGCGCGCGTCGCCGCCCCCCGCCTCACGCATCTCGCCTCTCGAACGCGTCGCGGCCGCCGCCGTCGCCGCTCCCGTTCTGCCCCGCCGCGCGCCGCTGCCCTGCCCCAGCCGTTTCCACCCCGTCCGCTACCTTGGACAGCGGTTTCCAAGGTACGAGCTCCTTAGCCATCCAGTGATTGGTTACCTCAACCCTAACCAATCAAACCCTTGCAAGTTTTGGCCTTGAGCCCCGGCACACCGCCATCTAGATCTGCAGCCAAGGCTGTTCGAGAGATTGGGCCGAAGCTAGTTGGGTCACTTTTTCAAAGTTCGTTTTTTTCCTCTGTCAAATCAACTGCCTGCCGTCTGCGGAGACGACCGATTCATAGAGGTACCCGACCTCGTGGATTTTAGGTAGCATCCCGCTGGGAAACATTTAGGGCAACTTACTGGCTGTAGTGAAAAGCCTGGTCAGCGCATGGGACGAGCCATTGTTTCGATTTGTTATCTCTTTTATGTTTATATCTTGTGCAAATTGGAGTGATGCAATCGCACACAAAGCCAGGCCTTGCCGGGATGTTTTATCAATAGCTCTAATTGGACCTAGTACGTCCATTATCTAGCTGACTCAAGTGCTCAGAAGAACATAAGCAGAAGCACCACCCCATGTGCGTGAACAAAGGCATGTGGAATATTGACCAAAATGTCGTCTATCCCGGTTGATTGGTTCCAATGTTCAAGATATTGGTAACTGGTACCATATCAGTCGGTTGCGGAGTGAGGATAAGTAGGCGAATTTTCCAGTTAATTGGCCGATAAATCAGTCAACCGGTCATTCGGTGACCCACCGAGTAGCAATTAACTGACCGAGATGCCGAATAATTGGCCGATATTTGGAACAATGATTGGTTATACTCATCAATAGCTTTTCATAGCAAATTTTATATGGCATATCTGATTTCACAGTGGTCAAACCAAAAGTGGAATAGGGGTACGATGGAATGCATGAAACATACCAGAATATGGTGTAATAGTAAGTAATTGAATTGCTGTCTTTTAGTAGCCTGGGCACAAACATAACATGTTAACAGTCCTTAGTTACTAGTCTCTTAAACATGCATGCTTTGGTGTGTTTGAAATTTTGGATTTTATCAAACTTTTTGCAAGACTGATTTTTTTTTGCGAATTTCCTTTATGATGTAAATAGGTGAATAAGGAGCTTTGAAGTCTGTGTATGAACTAGACACAACCGATATCATGGGTGATAGTTCAAATTCAAATGTGCAGAAGGCTGAGGAACTCAAACTTAGGGCAAACGATGCCTTCAAGGGTAAGGATATATGTTATCTTCCTGTCGTATGTCTAGATTGTACACCACCATTTTATCGTCTCATTGTTGTCAATGGGGCCTTACAACTGTACTACCTCTGGTCCTTTTTACTCTGCGTATAAGTGTTCCCGTTTTTTGGACTAATTTGCAATGTTCAAAAAAGCGGAAAGTGTAAGCAAAGGATGGCACAACTTAGAGCAATGGCCGCAGCCAAAGTGCGTGTGTTTGTGAAATTGGCCGCAGCTAAAGTTCCCGAACAGACCCTAATAACAAGATAAATGGTATATTGCCATTATTGCGCAAGCAGCCAAGCATAAGTAGTTCAAAACAGCCAATTTTAAAAAACGCTTAATCTACCACTAAGGGCAAAGCGAAACGTTTTGCGATCAAGCGCTGAGCGTCGCTTAGAAACACTTTCTTGAACACTGCTAATTTGCCCTTCGTTAGAGTAAGCTGCATGGATCGTGAGAGCAGGGTCATTATAAATGGAGATAAATGTGCATGCCGTGATTGGTTAGTCCTCTGTGATTGCCTATTTGGTCTCTTGGTTTCTCCCCCCACTAGCACAACATAAGGCGAATAGGAAGGAGAGCAGTTAATGCATGCATGCATGCATTCGGGTGCATGGGAGGCAGATGATGTGTGGTGGAATAGGAATGCGCTCAGAGAAAAAGGGATTGCGCAGAGTAATACGGGAAAAATGGAAAAAACTTAGGCGAGGACTAAGAACCCCAACACTTAATTTAAGGACCCAACTTGTTGGGTTGCTTGTTGTATTTAATTTAATTTAATAGCTAGACCTGACACTAATTAATTAGTAAATGAAGTTGAGGCATATCCAGTTTTAGATGTGCTTTTGTGGCAATAAACTGAACTTGAATGACTATCTTTCACGGCATTATGCTAATATCCAAATGAGGCATACGGGGTCCCTTAGCGTTAGGATTTCCTTGATGATTGTTGTTGCCTAACTATTGCTATGTTTTCCCTCCAGCAAACAAGTTTTCTCAGGCTGTAGAGCTTTATGACCAGGCTATTGATCTGAATGGATCAAATGCGGTTTATTGGGCAAATCGTGCATTTGCACACACAAAGCTTGAGGAATATGGAAGTGCTGTCCAGGATGCTACAAAGGCTATTGAGATTGATCCTAAATATTCGAAAGTGAGTATCTATGAGACTATGACCTGGGCCTGCTGCTGGAAAAAAATTGTAGGTTCTCACCTTTTGCACAACTTGTGTCTGTAGGGTTATTATAGACGAGGTGCAGCATATCTTGCTATGGGAAAATTCAAGGAAGCCCTGAAAGATTTTCAACAGGTATATGTCATATTGTTTAATAAATCCACTTAATTATATGACTACTGGATATTGGTGTTCATTTGTGTATAGTCTGCTCCGATTACATTTACTTTTTAGACAATGAGATTCCATATTGGGATTTACTTTCCCTGCAACTAAATAATATATGCAATTGTATTTTCCTATTAGGTGAAAAGAATCTGTCCTAATGATCCAGATGCTACAAGAAAGTTGAAAGAGTGTGAGAAAGCTGTCCAAAAAATTCGTTTCGAAGAAGCAATTTCTGTAGGGGATACAGAAAGGCGCTCTATAGCAGATTCTCTTGATTATCATATAATAGGTACCTGTCTTTGAATTTCCATATTTTTTGGCACATCACTTCCTGCTCTATGTTAATGTGGCTACAAATGGGACACTAGCATTCTTTCCTTGTGCTATTATTAGTATGTTCTTTCATGATAAATCTATTTGCTTGTATTCATGAGCTCTTGTATTGGTTTTAGAGTGCCTTCCATATTCAGCTCTTGGTTGCTTCTATTGTTTTATACTTTCATAGTCTTTTAATGCTTCGGCATATTATGCACACAATCTAAGTGAAGCAACAGATGCTGAGAGTGACAGTTCTTAGTGTGAAATGTAGTGTGCTGTGTTGGTATATTGCTAACATTACATGTTCTATTAGTGAAATTGAGCTTTCGTTATTAAAATAGCTGATAGGTATTTTTATCTCAGTTATAGTTGAGTTAAACAAACATTGTTGATATTACAGAAGTTGAACCACAATATACTGGAGCAAGAATTGATGGGGATACAATAACATTAGATTTCGTCAAGCAGATGCTGGAGGATTTCAAGACACAAAAATGTATACATAAAAGGTACAGTTTGTAATTGTCATGGCAATCATGATCCATTTTGTTTTCCTTCTACAAGTTTTCTTGGATATTTTTGATGAACTATAAGTTGGCAACCTGGTATAGGTATGCACTACAGATTGTGTTACAAGCACGGGACTTGCTGCGAGCAGTGCCTTCCCTTGTCGATGTGAATGTTCCGAATGGTTGTCACTTTACGGTCTGCGGTGATGTTCACGGCCAGGTATTTGCCTTAACAAGTAAAGTGTTTCTCTGGACATAGCTGTCAATAACCATTTGGCGTATGCATTTTGAAATGCTTTAATCCTGTGAAGTGGTAACATAACCCTTTATATTCACACATATAGTTAGAATGAGGTCAAAATCACCAGCCTTAATGACATTCTAATTTTGATTGTGATTTCTTTTGTTGTTACCTATTGGGGAGCTTAACGCCCTGCTGTTCTATTTCTATTTACAGTACTTTGATCTGCTAAATATATTTGAGCTCAATGGGCTTCCCTCTGAAGACAACCCTTACCTCTTCAATGGAGACTTTGTGGACAGAGGATCGTTTTCACTTGAAGTCATACTTACTCTCTTTGCATTCAAGTGTCTCTATCCAACTGGTAATAATCTTCAATTATTATATTGTTCATGGTCATAAATTGAACTAGTCGGTTTGCTGTAGTATGTATTCTGCTACATCCTCCTGCCAGTTCAGCTTTAATTAAGTGGAACTATGAGTTAAGCGTGGCTAGAATGTTCTATAATCAGGTATGTATCTAGCAAGAGGAAACCATGAAAGCAAGAGCATGAACAAAATATACGGTTTTGAGGGAGAAGTGAAGTCCAAGTTGAGTGATACGTTTGTCGAGCTGTTTGCTGAAGTATTTTGTTGCTTACCTCTGGCTCATGTAATCAACAAGAAGGTCTTTGTAGTTCATGGGGGTCTGTTTAGTGTTGATGGAGTAAAGTTATCGGACATTAAGGCCATTGATCGTTTCTGTGAGCCTCCTGAAGAAGGTATTTCTCACTTCACTATTTACAGTTGTCCATTCTTGAGTGGATATATGATTTTTCCTTCATTCCTTTTTAATGAACTGCTTTTATAAACACCTGAGTTATGCAATGATTGCATTTTTCCTTGCTTCTCGCCTGAAGCTGGAAACATATCATCGACTCATCGTTGACATCAAAGATGTCAAAGTACCTTTTCATTATTCTGTTTTTTAGAAACTGAAAAAGAAGTCACCATTGCAACCTTGATTTTGTTCATTTTGTGCAAGATATGTCCATGGGATTACAACCATTGCATTTCTGATGGCTATGTGCTATCATTGTAGATTCTGTTGTGAATTCGTTCTGCAAAAACATTTACTTGTTAACAAAACTTGCTATGGAAGTAATATATATTGCATTTATGTGTGTGTATGTATATGCGTGCTTCAGCTATTTGGCAAACTAAACTCTTGCTTTGTTGTTGACAGGTTTGATGTGTGAAATTCTATGGAGTGACCCTCAGCCTCAGCCTGGGAGAGGTCCAAGCAAACGAGGTGTAGGGCTTTCCTTTGGTGGAGATGTGACAAAGAGGTTTTTAGAAGATAACAACCTTGGTAGGCCCCATAACAAATTGTCGTTCTTGTTGTTTTAACGTACCAGATACATTTAGTTTAAACTTGCTGGAGTATCTTTCTCGTTTCTATATAGCATTCTTTTCTTGCATGTTTTCTTCTAATATGGTTGATTGCCTGCTAGACCTTGTTGTCCGATCCCACGAAGTTAAGGATGAAGGGTATGAAACCATGCATGACGGAAAGCTTATTACTGTCTTCTCAGCTCCTAACTATTGCGACCAGGTGTGCTAAATCACGGGAAAAAACTACACTGCTTGCATTCCTTGCAATTCTCTCTTGATATATAGTCCTGGGAAGCCATCTGTTTTCCTTTTCATGTCTGTTCCTCATCATAGTATTGATGCTGACTGCATGATGCTGTTCTAAATTTCCGATGCAGATGGGCAACAAAGGTGCATTTATTCGGTTCAGTGCTCCAGATTTAAAGCCAGATATTGTTAGTTTCTCAGCAGTGGTATGTCCTCGTTGGCCTTTTGCATCTAAGCTTCTTGCAAAGTGCGTTAATTCTTGTTGAACTTGACTGGCACAGCATATAGTTCGAAAGTTGCAGATATCTATTTCAAGCACCTCCTAACTGCTTATGCCCTAGTCATTTATTTGATCAATCATGCTGAACTTTTCTCAACCCACATTTGGTTGATCACACTTCTATTATTGCAGTCACACCCTGATGTCAAGCCGATGGCCTACGCAAACAATTTCCTCCGGATGTTCCAATAGCACCAGGCGGGACCTGTCTGGCCAATTTTGATATGCAAAACTTTTCTGTGCCCAGCTCACTGCGTACCAAGTTCTCATCCAAGTCTTGCGTTGAGCAGCAAATATTTTGCTACAACAACTTTAGATGCTGCTGTTACCCCTCCTGCCCTTTGTTAAATTATTATTGGTTCTAGCACAGTGATTTAGGTGTCTGTAGTTGTACATTTGCTTTATCTTCCTGCCCTTGTCCCTGTGATTCCCTTCATATCTCTAGTACATCAGTCTCTGCTCAGCTTTCACCGTGCTGACACCCCAGGATTGATGCCTTTTTGCTCTCTATTACTTGTGTGGATTGTTGTACTACATTTCATACACAAAATGATTCCCTATGATTATTTTGTACTGAGGGCGAGCACAGGATTGTGCAATATAGTGTTGTGTCAACGCCACAATGCGGCCTTGTAACACTATTGTTTAGTTTGCCTGCCACTTCTATGTTACTTTTTCCCCCGGTGTGCATTTAGTGTCTGCATTGATTTTCAGCTCGTCAGTGAGGGATGATTGCGCAAACACTTACTTTTTCCAAAAAGATGGAGATGTTTTCAAGCTGGTAATTTCCTATTTAGGAATTTTGAACGTTTGGCTGGACTTTTAAGAGTAATCTCACCATCTGCGTTCAAGTCTTTACAATTCGAAATAGGTTCTTAGTTATGATAACAAGGCATGGAAAAGTTTGTCCAGATTGATTGTATTGTTGATGCCAAATACTAATTTCATGGGCAAATGTGAAAGAAAGGAATATGAGTCTGGTTTATCAGGAAACCACCCATGAGCGCACGTACATTTTTCACCTCTGTAACATACTATAAACTCCGTTTGGAAATACTTGGCGTGGTTTTAGTTAAAGTTACTTCAAATTTGAACTATAACCATGTCGAGTATTTACGTGGTTTTAGTTCAAGTTACTTCAAATTTGAACTATAATCATGTCGAGTATTTCGGAACGAAGGAAGTACATCCTCCTAATCATTTCTAACTGCCTTTCCAGGGAGCCGGATGAGGTTGTAGGTCCAGGCTCCCGCCACCGTCCCGCACACCGGGCCGACGATGTACACCCACACGCTGCCGAACTGGCAGGCGACGATCGCCGGCCCTAGGCTCCTCGCAGGGTTCATTGACGCCCCCGTAATCGGCCTGCGCATCCGCTCCGAAGAAGCAAGAAGCAGAATGCAACATCCACAGATCAGGTCAGGGGGTCAGGGGTAAGAAGATCAAGAATCTACAATTTCAGTTTATTTGCCATATATGATGCTTTGGATCGGCCTGTACCCGGCAAAGAGCACGTTCAGCACGACGGTGGCACCGACTGCGAGACCAGCCAGTTCACCAACCTGCAAGAGAAAGCGTCACTCAGTTCTTCATACTCCCTCTCTGACATTCCAGAGCTATCGCATATCAGGAAAAGTTCATCGTTTCCGATCGATCTCCAAGTGCTGGGCGGCGCGAAGCGGTGGTCTTACCGCTCTGTCGTCCGTGGCCACGCCTGAGACGACGAACATGAGGTAGAAGGAGATGATGAACTCGAGCGCCACCGCCTGCGTGCTCGAACCGGACGGCGTCGTCCCGAGGAAGTGCCCGTGTGCGCCGCCGAACGTCAGCCGCAGCGTCAGGCTCGCCAGCGTGGATCCCAGCACCTGAGCCAGCACATAGGACGGCACCTGCAACACATCCACATTTTCAGTTTGTCAATACACTGAAAAAGTGGCATTTTCGGATAATCTACAGTGTTTCTGATCACATCATGTTTTTTCATCCCAACGAACATCCCTGTGTTGAAAGTACCTGCTTCCACGGGAAGCGCCGGCAGGTGGCGAAGGCGATGGTGACGGCGGGGTTGAAGTGCGCGCCGGAGACGTGGCCGACGGAGTAGACCATGACCATGACGACGAGCCCCCACACGACGCAGATCCCCGGGAACGTCACCGCGCCGCCCGTGCTCTGGTTCACCACCACGGAGCCGCACCCCGCCAAGATCATGAAGTAGGTTCCCAAAATTTCTGCAAGGATCTGTTCAAATCTGCGTAAAACGAGCACGACTCTTCCAGCAAAATTCGTTCTACGCAGTACAGAACTGCATACTGCAAGCACACATATAGGAGTATATACCTTCTGCATGAATTGGACGGAGATCATGTCACCGCCGTCGCATCTGCTGTTGTTATTAGTGCTGCCCCAATCCTCTGAGTTCTTAGACGTGGCCTCCTTTACGTCTTGCCCTTCTTCCATGGCTCCGGTGGCGCCTCCGTCGTCTCTCCTATGTTAGTGACACGCTGTGCTCTCCGTCGAGCACAGTGGCACCCTGCTTCTCCTTCCTGATCTCTACTTGATAGCGCCGAGATCGTTTGAGTGTAAGTATATCTCTTAAGGAATTAGGAATCATATCATCATATTCTTCTTGGACTGGTTACCTACTCTGCATGACTGGAGGTGGCTTGATGGAACTATCTGAATTAGGCGTGTGCAAAAACGTAACCAACTCAACTACGAAGGGCTAAACGTGATTTATGTAGTCTTCTTACAAATTTTTCACGCCTAACTGAATCCATCTTCAGTAAAAGAAAAAAAAATATGTGGAGGCTATAGGCTATAGCGAACCACACAAAGCTAAAAATGTATAAAGATAAAAGCTTGCAACAATTGGTTGGTTCATGAATGAATCTTTGTGCATGTGCCATCCTAAAAATGTGTTTGCGACTATTGGTTTATTCGAACGGAAGACGAGCTATTTTCTAACGAAGATGCATCAAGAATTAAAATCCTTATCATTTTTTTTCAAGAAAAAAGAGGTTCATAAGAAGTATAAAGCACCACAAACATAATAAAAGTTACACGGAGGACCATGCACAGCCGAATGACCACACCGCCACTATAACAAGTTGTCAATGCCCTATTGTCGCCGTTATTCTACCGAAGCAGGCTTGACCTTGACGATGACAGTGGATAAGTCTTCATGCACAACACCCTAGAGCCACAAACATCGTCATTAAACCCTTGAAGCGCCTGGCATCAAATCTCGATGCCACACACACGGCGAGAAATCCTAACCTCGCCATCCCAAGGATATGACAGGAATCTATGCCAGAACACCACCGACTCCGTGCCGATGTGCGAACTCGAGGAGGATCACATCCCAAAAGATCAACTCAAAGTTGAAGCATCGTCATGCGTCCGAACGTCGTCCCCCCGCGAGAGAAAAACTATAACCTTAACTATTGGCTGAAACCGAGGCAGGGATCCCCCTCCCGCCACCAGCCACTTGAGTGGTCGGTAGAGGGGAGGTGGATTCACGGATTTGCCGGCGAAGCATAGAAGGGATGAGTGCCCTAGCCGCCGCAATCGCAAGAGGGAAAGTGAAACCCAAGAAATTAGTACTAAATCAAGCATCCTGACCATTGTTTGCCGGGTATTTATTTTGGATATCGAAAATACAACCGATTATTTTTTGTGGACTACGTGTGATCCACGTTTGCACATTGTCACACATCGTGTGTCAATCAAATGGATAATGACCCAGCTTTAGCTGTTTTTTTAGCTCTATAAGAGCAACTCTAACGGCTTCTGTAAATCTCAAATAATTGAAGTTGGGGCAGAAAAAAAGCTCTTCAACAGCTCTCGTAAACCCATAAACTTTTTACGGATCCCCTAAAAACACCCCCTCATCCCACAAGTATACGGGAAGATTTGTCCTCTTTGTAAATTTTTGGCGGTTAAAAAACCGCCTAACACTTCATTGCTTCATCCCGCGCCGCCGCCGCCGCCGCCCTCGCACCGCCACTCCGTGCCGCTACTGTCGTGTCGTCGCATCGCCATACTGCCGCCCTCACGCCGCTGCCCTACGTCGTCGTGCCATCGGGCTACTGGATCATCGTGCCGCCATGCCACCACCTCCATGCCGAGCCACCGCCTCGCCGCGCTGCCACCACGTCAGGCCACTGCTACACCGCCGCCCCGCACCGCACCTCGCCGGTCACCGTCACACATGCCAATGACATACGGGCCCAGGCATTAGTTAGGTTTGTTTGACTAAAAAAAAGAAAAACATATTTTACGGAAAGAGGTTTACAAGATTTGAGAAAAGTTGTTGTCTAACAACTTCCCGTAAATTATATATTCATCCAGTAAAACCACTTTTATGGGAAGATTTTTGCGGGAGCTATTGGAGTTGCTCTAACAAGAAAATTGATACAACATGTAGCTTAGAACACAAAATTCTAGTTGTTTGGCAGTCATATAAATGTGGGTTAGCAATTTAGAAAGAATTTTCTGTAAATAAAACTTATAAACAACTTCAATATCTATGTGCAGAGAACCACAAGTTCACAATATAAGTTTTGAAGTATTTTCCTCCTCATTCCCTCCGGTGAAAACCCTAGGAGCTACGGCGGCAGCGCTGATCTACCTCCTCCCTGGCGAGATCATGGGCCCTTTCTCCCTTCGTCCGCTACTTTTGGCGACATGAGTGAGCGGAAATCCTGTTACTTCGTACCAGTAGTGGTAGGGTGAGGTTTTTCGTTTAGATTTTGGTTCCTAGTCATCAGTGGTAAGGTGATGGTGCCACCTTCGGCATGGAATAAGTCCTTTCCTGCCTCGTTCTCATTCTGATGGTGGTTCGTGGCATCGTTGGTAGGCATGTGGAGGGTGGTGTGTCCCTTGATATGGTTCTCCGGGTTTTTTTTTTCTTCTGCGAGTTTGTTTCGGTGTGCTGTCCTGCGGAGCGGATGGCGTGGTTGTGCGTCTTGGTTCTCCGGATCTAGTTTCAACTAATGAAGGTTGGCCAGTTAGGGCTTCGTTGGGGAGCGTGTGTGAATTGTGCTTTCCGGCCCGTCTAGACGATCATGTGGCGTTATTCGAGTCCTCTATGGAGTTTTCTTCCCTGGGGCGATGATTTGCTATGCAAATTGCGCTCAACGGCATTTTCTGGTCTACATCAACGTTTTGCGGGCCAGTCTAGGTCTCCAATGCAATCGCTTTATTTACGGTTGCCTCGGAGAAAATTTGAGCTCGTGAATCGTACCAAGCATCGGTCTCAACTTGAAGCACCAATCCTAGCCACGAACTCCGCTAGCAAAACGACCAGGGATATTACCATAGCACCCGTTGTTGGCACCCGCATTGGAGATGGCCTTAGAGGCCACATTATCACCTCATACCACACAAGACCCTAGCCGTCAGATCACATCAAATGGACGGTCCATAATCATGTGGTGCACCTTAAGTTTTCTCTTTTCTAAGTGTTGGCTACTCAAGGTCTCTATGGACCAAATTTTGTGGACTATCTATGACATTTTGTAGAACTTCAATCTATGGAGCCCCTTTGGATCAAAGCAAGAGGTTAGATCTCAAGAAAGTTTGACTTTCTATGCCTTATTAGGGTTGCTTTGTCTATGTACACATGGTATGGTTTTTATACGACTTTGTATTTGGTCTATGCTACATTCAATGGAGTACCACCTTTTGTTCATGGCGGTGTGTACACGGTTGAAACAGATGGCCAGGGAGGTTTTTACCCAACATGGATAGCGGTATAGGCTAAAAGTCCTGAAATCGAAAATGGCATAGAGTTTGAGCCTGGAGCCAAAGCCCCAACCCCTCCATTTTAGGTTTCTGAAAGTAATATCGGCTGGATAAGCCTGCTCCATATTGATTTTTCTCCGGTTTCCTTTTAGAAATAGACTTTAATGTTGTCAGTCTATATTTTCACATTGTGTGTCTGTTCATGTTGGTTGTGTGCAACATAGTTACGCATAGACGAGGTGTACACTGCTACATTACGAGTTTATATACAAGCACCCTCTTTATGGGGGGAAAATAGGACGTCGTGTCTTGCAAGAACTTTAGCTTTATATCGGAGTTTGCAAATACCTCTGTTTTGATTCCTTACTATAGTAGAATTCGGCAAGTCATAACATGCTGATCTCATCTTCTTCTTTTGCTTATTCCTACGTTTCAGAGGAGCCCTTGACTCGTACTCAATCTTTCGTAACTTGGCGCAAATTTAGGCTAACCAAAGCGCTTCCACACGATACATCCTAAAGCACGGTTCGCTGAAATACTCCGGCAAGTAGCGCTGCTCCCAGCAGCAGCAGGCGACTCTGCAGTCTGCGGTACAGATACGACAAGGCGCCGCCTGGTGTGGTGTGGTGTAGACTACGCGCTACGTACGGAGTAGATATTTTTCTTCTCCGCTGGTGAAGGTGAAGATCCTTCCGCATTGTCCGGCTTCTGGAGGGCAGGATTTGCGGACGGCACGCCCGCGTTTTTCTTTGACTTGGCGCAGCACGGCACGCTCAGTTAAACCGGAGAAAGCGACGGCAGTGCTGGCCAGCAGGCCTATTTGGTCAAGGCACAATCACGCCCGCCGGCCCCGGACAAGACACGGCCGCGACGCCGTCCGCCCCTCGACCAGAAACACCGTGTTGACCCCCGGCAGCGCGGACTTCGCAGCCACCGGCGTGCCGACTCCGTCCACCATGGCATACGAGAAAAGGGGGGCGGTCGAGCCGGGAAGAATGGGTAATTTTCGTGATTTCTGACATCAATGTACATTTGTCACAACAACAGCACAACGAGCTTACATTGCGGCCAAATCGAGGTCACCAGCTGCGGAGGCTACATATCAGCTGGTTCTGGCCGCCGAACCCTCCCTAGCTCTTGTAATCCGCACAAATAAATAACACAATTATCATCACCACAGCAAGTGAAAGCTATCTGAAGGAACCACACGCTTGGTCTCTCTTTCAGAAACTAATGGAACACCAAGAAGAAGAGGAAGAAATAAGCTACAACAAGAAAGAATCCCGCCCGAGTTAGGTTTCTGTTAGCATCAGCTCCTCGTCCTGGAGCTCCCGAGAGTGAGCTCCAGCTCGTCCGATCCGGAGTCCTCGTGGATCCTCTCGCCCTCCCACGCCCTCACCAGTCCGGCGGTGGCCTGCTGAGCGCCGCCGTTGGTGCTGCTTCCAAACGCGAACTCGTCGGAGACCACGTCCATCATGTGAACGTCCGGGTGCCGCGCCATGCCAGGGATCACCGGCGAGCACGTGCCGCTCTGCCCCGGCGTGCACATCCTTGATGAACCGCCGCCAGGGATGGCTTCTTTGAAGACGCTGAATGGGTTGGAGGACATGAGACTGAATGTGGGCGATGAAGGGCTCGTTGACGAGATCTGGATGCCGGCCAGCCATGCCGGGTCAGGAACCATTTGACGCCCGGGGCTTGGCGGGGTGGAGTTCACCACGCAAGGGCTGTTTGAACCATGCCACGGAGGCTGGATCACCGACTCGTCCCAGTCTGTCTTCATGCGAGGGGTGCGAGCGGTCGGTGAGCTCAGTGGAGGAGTCACCGGGGCGCTAATGGAGCCCCCGTGAATCAGCAGCGGCGGAAGATGCGGCCGCTTATTCGATGCCGTCGAATTGGAGAACGTTTGCAGCCAAGGTAGGATGGGGGTTGCATCAACGCCATTAACCATGTTGTTAGAATGCGGGAGGAAGGGCGAAGACGCGCCGCTGGGGAATGAAGAGGAGGTAGGGCTCGCATTGTATGATGCCCGCGGACTTGGCTGATATGAGGAACATGGGCTTGGTGACACGGAGCACCCAATCCCATCCATGCGTTCTGCAGGTCTGCATCCCTGTGAACAAATAACAAACACATTGTTAGTTTCTGCAGCAAAATTGCTACCTACTGAACAACATTTTAACGTACAAAAAACGAGCACATTGTTAGCATCAGAGGACTCTCTCCGACTGGCTGAAAGTAAACCAGATGCGGTATTTCTGCAGAATTGATACCTACTCAACAACATTTTATCACGGAGCAGGACACTATTTCACACCATGGCACGGGGAGAGCACTACATTGCAAGTAGTAATATGTATATATAGAGAAGTAATGTACGTATGATAGATAGATAACCATGGCACAAGTAATGTATGATAGCTCATGGTGCAAATATTAATGCGCTATCCTGACAAACACGGAGAGGCAGCAAGCCTCGTGGCTATTTGCCACAGTTCGACTCGCGTGTAGCAACGATCAGGCAAGCACAAGATGGTCAAACATCATGATGCCGACAGTGAATTGCACCATGCTAGACTGTGGGATTGCTTGGAAGACATGATGCAAAGGCATGAACACGCAGCAGGCAATAATTCAGGAGCATATAGAGTTGCTTCAGCGTGTTTCTCGCCCACAGATCTTACGAGCCGAACAGGAATCCTGATCCACGAAATGCTAGCATCGCGATAGGATTTGCAGGGGAGCAGCACGGCACCGATACAAGATGCTCAATTCGTCGCCGCGCTAGGAGAATCTAGCTTTTCTTTTTCCCCAGCGGCAGCAGTTCCCCGATGCCCCGAAATTCCACGAACGCGCCTGCCAGACCAGCCACCCACCCACCCCGCACTCCCGTCCGGCACACCCGTGCACGGACCAGACTGGCGTCTCCCACCACACCACCCTTTGCCCGTCGCCACCCACGTGCGACCCATCCCCAAAGAAACGGAGGAAAATTAAAATAGGAAAGGTACGACTGGACGCCACACGGTTCACACCGCGCCGCAGGCCGCCCAGGCACCAGCTGACCCTCGCCGTACCACGCCGAGATCCACCGCGCGCGCCGCCTCCGCCGCAAACCTGCTGCGCTCGACGAGCTTAGCTCGCTCGCTGGACTACGGCGCCGCTGGCCGGCCTCCCGTGGAGGAGCGAGGCAGAGGGATCGATCGACCGGTTGTGGTGGCGGAGATCCATCCGGCCTTGCGGTCGGGGGAGAGAGAGCGGGGAAGGCGTGGTGGTACGGACCTTGCGGTAGGTGGTGCCGTCGGGCTCGACGACCCAGCCGGCCTCGTTGCAGAGGGCCTTGAGGACCTCGTTGTTGTCGCAGTGTTTGGGCAGCTTGTACCCGCCGTGCGCCCGCAGGCCGGAGAATATCTTGGCGGCGATCGCGCGCCGCCGCCGCTCCCTCCGCTTGTTGTTCTCCCTCTCCCTCCACGTCGGCATCCTGCCGCCCGCTCCCCCCGCCGCCCCGAAGTCCGCCGCTCCTCCTCCTCCGCCTCCCCCCGTCGCCATGCCCTCCGCACCACGCAGCTCGACTCCGCTGCCGGCTGAGCTCGAGGAAAGGGGCCTTGCCGAGCTCGAAGGAAGAGGTCGCCCTCTCGAGTGGGCGAAGGAGCGAGAGCAGATCACACGGAAGGAGAGAGAGAGAGGGAGAGGGACAGAGAGGGGGAGAGGGTGGGTGGGGGAGCAGTGGCGTGAGCTTTGAAAAGCCCCGGCTCGCGACGCGGCCGCGACCGCCCCTCGATTTCCCCCTATTTACGCGCCTGCCACCGGCGGGAAAGCGCGGTCGACGCGGCGGCGCGCGGAGGGGCAGGACGGTAACTGCGCGCCGCACCGCGGGGGCAGGCAGAGGGGCAACCCACGAAGCGTGTTGCTCCGCGGCGGGGCCGGTCCACGTCAACGAGCGCTGCACGTGGGCGCCCACGGGCCGTGGGGCCCGCGGCCCGGGCCGTCGTGCGGACGGGCGGCCCGTGGGGGAGGAGGTGGGGCACGTGACGAGCCTGTTGCTTTTCGGGGCCACGCGCTCGTTTCCTTTCTTTTCTTTCCCTTCGCTCGCACCGCCCGTTCCGGGGCTAAAATTGATTGAGATGTGGTTTATTTTGCGGCGTGTCTGTGCGTATTTTTGGACCCCGCCTCGGCGTGCGGGGGGAGGAAAGGAAAGTAGACGGACTCGGAGCGCGAGCGCGGCGCGGGTGTCTGCGATTGCGCGCGAACGGGGGGTGGGACGCACGGGGAGCACGGGTGGGGCTCGGAGGGGTCGAAACGTGGCGGCCGAGGCGCGGCGGGCATCTTTCTTTGCCCGCGTGCGTCGCAGGGGGAGGCGGGGACGGAACGGCGGCCTACTAGTTTGGAGTCAGACTATACATGATTTCTTTCATTAAGTTTGGGCTTTTGGTTCAAAAAATCGTTGAAATGCACTCCCTCCCTTCCTAAATACTCCATCCGTTCCAAAATAAATGACCCAACTTTGTATTAAATTTAATACAAAGTTGGATCATCTATTTTGAAACGGAGGGAGTATAAGTCTTTTTAGAAATTTCAAATGAAATGCAATATATCGATATATGTAGACATATTTTAGAGTGTAGGTTCACTCATTTTAGTTCGTATGTAGTCACTTGATGAAATTTCTAGAAAGACTTATATTTAAGAACGGAGGGAGTACTCACTAAACGGACACCGCAAAACAGTGCGGTCATTAGTTAGGGCGTCTCCAACGCTGACCAGTAAACGGGCATCGCAAATGTCTGTTCCGTCGCGCCCAGCCAAATGGACGGCGCATGGACCCACTCCCGCACGAAGGACACTCACTTGCTATGTCTCCGTGGGTGCATGTGGTGGCGGCGTGGGTGCAGGCGGTGCCGGTGATGGTGGCGGGTAGACGTAGTCGCCGGCCGCCGACTGTTGGAGCGCCTCCTTGAGGTCAGGCCACCGGGTGTCTTCCTCGCGCTTCGAATCCTGGATAGCACGTTGGAACGCCTCCTCTGCCTCCCCATCATCCTTCCTCACCACCGGCGGTGGCGGTGGGGGACGGATGTTAATCTAGACGACGCTGCTACGGCGCACGTAGTGCTCGGTCGTGAACCAGACATCCTAGTTCAGGGAGTCTGGCACGTACATCGAGTCACGGTGTTGCTTCGGCATGAGGAGAGCACGACACTTGCGGATCTCCTCCACACGCACCCGCTTGGACGGCGGCACGGCCGACACCAGAGTGCGGTGGGGGTCGAGGTGCCAGTCGTGCGGGAGGTTGACGTCAGGCCACGACAACGGGACTTGGTACTCCAGTGGTATGGCGCCCGGTGCACCGGGTATATACAGTAGGTCGTGTGGCCGTCGAGTCCCCCTCCTCCCATCCCTCGCGGCACCAATGTGAAGCTAGGCAGGCCTCACGATGAGCCAGCCTCATGGTCATGCTTTCCTTTGCTAAAGCACTCATGGCGATGGTGTGCCTAGGGTTTTGTTGCCGGCAACAGAGCACGCGTGGCCAGATGTGAACGGGGGTGGAAGGAGAAGTGGATGAGACCCCCAGCATGCTTGCCATTTAAAAGGACGTGGACTCTAGACGCTTCCAGTCGCCGTCGTGCGGGCCCGAGGTGGGTGGGTGGCATTGACTATGATGAAGGAAATATGCCCTAGATGCAATAATAAAGTTGTTATTTATATTTCCTTATATCATGATATATGTTTATTATTCATGCTAGAATTGTATTAACCGAAAATTTGATACGTGTGAGAATACATAGACAAAACAAAGTGTCCCTAGTATGCCTCTACTAGACTAGCTCGTTAATCAAAGATGGTTAAGTTTCCTGACCATAGACTTGTGTTGTCATTTGATGAACGGGATCACATCATTAGGAGAATGATGTGATGGACAAGACACATATGTTAGCTTAGCATAATGATCGTTAAGTTTTATTGCTATTGCTTTCTTCATGACTTATACATATTCCTCTGACTATGAGATTATGCAACTCCCGAATACCGGAGGAACACCTTGTGTGCTATCAAACGTTACAACGTAACTGGGTGATTATAAATATGCTCTACAGGTGTCTTTGAAGGTGTTTGTTGGGTTGGCATAGATAAAGATTATGATTTGTCTCTCCGAGTATCGGAGAGGTATCTCTGGGCCCTCTCGATAATGCACATCACCATAAGCCTTGCAAGCAATGTGATTAATGAGTTAGTTGCGGGATGATGCATTACAGAACGAGTAAATAGACTTGCCGGTAACGAGATTGAACTAAGTATAAGGATACCGACGATCGAATCTCGGGCAAGTAACATACCGATGACAAAGGGAATGACGTATGTTGTTATTGCGGTTTGACTGATAAAGATCTTCGTAGAATATGTAGGAACCAATATGAGCATCCAGGTTCCGCTATTGGTTATTGACCGTAGATGTGTCTCGGTCATGTCTACATAGTTCTCGAACCCGTATAGTCCGCACGCTTAACGTTTGATGATGATTTGTATTATGAGTTATGTGTTTTGGTGACCGAAGATTGTTCGGAGTCCCGGATAAGATCACGGACATGACGAGGAGTCTCGAAATAGTCGAGAGGTAAAGATTTATATATTGGACAATAGTATTTGGACATCAGAATGGTTTCAGGACGTTTCGACTATTTATCGGAGTACCGAGGGGTTACCGGAACCCCCCCCCCCGGGGGAAAGTAATGGGCCTACATGGGCCTGATACGTCTCCAACGTATCTATAATTTTTGATTGCTCCATGCTATATTATCTACTGTTTTGGACATTATTGGGCTTTATTATCCACTTTTATATTATTTTTGGGACTAACCTATTAACCGGAGGCCCAACCCAGAATTGTTGTTTTTTTGCCTGTTTTAGGGTTTCGAAGAAAAGGAATATCAAACGGAGTCCAAACAGAATGAAACCTTCGAGAACGTGATTTTTAGGAAGATTATGACCTGGGAGACTTGGACCCTACATCAAGAAAGAAACAGTGGCTTCGGGAACGTGATTTTTAGGAAGATTATGATCGGGGAGACTTGGCCCCTACGTCAAGAAAGAAACGGTGGCCGTTTCTTTCTTGACATGGGGTCCAAGTCTCCCGGATCATAATCTTCCTAAAAATCACGTTCCCGAAGGTTTCATTCCGTTTGGACTCCGTTTGATATTCCTTTTCTTTGAAACCCTAAAACAGGCAAAAAAACAGCAATTCTGGGTTGGGCCTCCGGTTAATAGGTTAGTCCCAAAAATAATATAAAAGTG